ACCACGAGCTCGTGGGGCTGGCCAAGGACAGCCTGAAGGCAGAGGCTGAGGCCAAGACGGCGTCCAGGGGCCGGCAGGATGGGTCTGAGAGCGAGGCGGCAGCTGCTGTTATGGTGGGCCGCCTACGGGAGCTGCTGCGGGACCTGCCCCCGGAGAACCTGGCCACATTGCAGTATCTGCTGAGACACCTGCGCAGGTAAGTCATAGGGCTGGGGCCCAGGGTTTCAGGCAGGCTCCAGGAGCCACTCACACACCCTGTGCTCTCCGTGCCCCAGGATAGTGGAGGTGGAACAGGATAACAAGATGACCCCAGGGAACCTGGGCATTGTATTTGGGCCAACACTGCTGCGGCCGCGACCCACAGAGGCCACCATCTCCCTCTCCTCTCTGGTGGACTATCCCCACCAGGCCCGTGTCATTGAGACCCTCATCGTCCACTACAGCCTTATCTTCGAGGAGGAGCCTGAGGAGGCACCAGGGTGCCAGGTGAGGCATGGATCGGAGCCACAGCTGTGCACAGGAGGGTGTGGGTGCGAGCAGGTGGGGACAACACTGGGAAGCCCTTGTTTGGGTCAGAGCAGCCAGTTGTCTTTGGAACAGAGACTAAACAAGGTGTGTCTGAGCCCTGGGACAGAGTGCTGGGGAAACAAAGGCACTGCTGGCCTCCACCCTCCTACCTGGTCCGCTGCCTGCACGTGGGCAGCTGGGGCCACTTCAGCCAGAGGCCTGGCTTTGGTTTCTAGAAGTTTGTTCCGTTTCCTCACACATCTGCTCCTCTCTTCTCTTCAAGTCCTCCTTGTATTTCTTCACCCGTCTCCTGGCATCTCGTGGTGTTCCCGAGTTTTCTCTTACCCCACAGCCTCAGTGAGTCCCCGAGAGCCAGGGACCCTCAGGACTGGGGCCAGGGCTCTTTGGCTCTGACCCTGGCGTGTGTGCTGGGCCTGGCCCGTCTGGCAGAGCGGGTGGCCTGGGAGCAGGAGTGCGGTGGCTGTTTCAGGAGGAGCAGGCCTGCGTGCACAAGCTGTGGGAGTGGACACGGAGTGGACCCTGGGACATCACACAGCCTCAGTAGCAGCAGTCCTTACTTTCAGGGTCTGGGGGCAGCTGGAGCTGCGGCCTCCCTGACTCCCTTCCCCCTGGCAGGATGGGCCACCCAGTCAGCGGACAGAGGTGGTGGTTTCCATGCCCTACCCAGAGGCTGGAGAGGAGTCTGCCTATGCCCTGCAGGAGGAGGCAGAGGACAGGGGCCGAGGTGAGTGGGGCTGCAGGGAGGCCAGGCCCTGGTGTCCACCGTGGAGCCTGCGTGCACAGCACAGGTTGGAGTCGCAGTGCCCAAGACTGAACTTCTGTGGAGTCGTCTGCCACGGACACCACCTGTACCCAGTATTCAGCCCTGTCCTTTCAAGTGTTGTAACCCAGCCAACAGTGCCTTCTTTCCAAGGTGGCCATCTGCACTGAGGAATGGCCATGTCGATCCAGGCCCACAGGCCTTGAGTCTTTGAGGCGCCAACATCTGGCCAGGCCAAATGCTTCCCTGGGGGGAGTGTAGTATCTGAGAGAGGGAGCAGGCTGGGGTGGGGACCCTGGGAGTTGACTCGGGTGGAGATGTCCCCGTGTCCACTCCGTGTCCACGGAGCCAGGTCCTCCACTGCATTCTCTCTCCCTCTCTGTCCGGCCTTCCCAGAATCCCGAGTTGCATCTAACGATTCTGACTCAGAGCTGGAAGAGGGCTCGGATCCCTTGTCATCCTCGGACGCCAGCGCCCTGCACCACCTCAGCTTTCTGGAGAAGGAGGGTGAAGCCAGCCTGGAGGGTCGCCGGAGCCGCAGTGGCAGTGAGGGGCAGCTGGGGGAGGAGGAGGACGAGGAGGACCAAGTGCTGCAGCTCTCAACCTACAACACCAACCAGTCCAACAACAGGGCGCAGGCCCAGCGGCCCACCATGAGACTCCGTGGCGGGCAGATGGCGGCAGGCACCTGCTGGGGGCGACAGCCGGATTTCCTCTGAGCTGGGGTGGTGGCTGGGACAATTGCCAGCTTCCCTTATACCTGGTCTGTGTCTCTGCCTCTTGGGGCCATCTGCATCTCGAGGCTGGGCTAGCCTCGCAGGCCTGTCCTTGGTGAGAGCAGCTGTGAGGCACAGTCCTGCTGGCCCACACGGCGGCAGCCTCCTCCTGAAGCCTCTCACCTCGGCTCAGCTCAGCTGGAGACCTGGCTCTTGGTGAAGCTCCCTGTCCTTGGTGGGCCCACAGGGCTGTGTGGGTGGAGCAGTCCTGTCCCCGTCCCCTCGCTGCCCCTGGGCTCTCAATCTTAGGCCCTGCACTGATGACTCCTCACCCCTGCGGGGCTGAAGGCTGTTGTGGGTGCTGTGGAACTGGGGTGCAGGCCAGCCTTGACACTGAAGCCCAGGCTGGGGGTCAGTAGGGCCAGGCTCTGACTTTGGGATTTGCTCTTTTCCAGAAAGCTCTGGACACCTGGAGTCCAGGTCACCTAGGTCTAGGTACACAGTGCCGTCTCTCGCAGGTCACCATGTACTTCCTGGAAATGTGTCTGTTTTGCTTAAAATAAACTTATACCTGGTCTATGTGCTGTGGCCCTGGGGAAGGGGAGCTGGGCCACAGGCCCGTGGTGTGTCCTTGGCTTCCTGGCTGAGGAGGGCCATGGGGAGGAGGTCCCCTCTGCCAGCCCTGGTGGTTTGGCAAGCCTGGGAGTCCTGGAGGCAGCCTACAGCTCTGCGATGGCCTGCAGAGCGGTCCGCATGGAGAGCATGTTCTCCACTGCAAGATCCCTTGCCACCCCACGTGGCTGCCAGGGGCCAGGCTGTGGCAAAATTCGGCTCATGACCCTCTGGAGACTGAACCTGGAGCTCACGCACACTGATGTCACGGCCAGTGGAGGAGTGCCCACTGCCCACCCGCTTCTTGGTCCTGACCCTCACCTGAGGGATGGTGCGGGGGGTCACTGCTGGGTGAGGCCCTGAGGCTCACCCAGGGCAAATTTCCTGGGCAGAAAGAGGTGAGCTTTGACTCCAGGCAGGGGCTCCACAGCAGATGGTGGGGGAGAAGCCTTCCCTCCCCATGCAGCAGCCGCCATCAGGACCTGCAGCCCCAGACCCTACATGAAGCTGCACTGAGCTGCCTACAGGGCACAGGGTCTTCTTGGCAGGCAGCAGGCCGGGGTCTAGGTTACCACGGCCACCATCCTGCCACAAGTCAAGTTGAGGGAGGGTGACAGGAACCAACTGGCCCACAAGGCCAGAAGCATTTCCTGTGGCCCTTGAGTGGGGATGGACCCAGGGTCTCGTGTAGCCTAGACAAGCGTCCACCACTGAGTCACCTCAGCCCACCTTGTCTTGCTGGCATCCAGAGGCACACCCAGCGGCTGACTGCATCTGAGCTGGTGCATGTTGTCCCACCATCCATCCCTGGAATGTTCTACCTTCTCAGACTCATACTGCCTTCCAACTCCTGTACCCCCCTGCTGCTTCCTGCCTCTGGATCTGGGGGCTCCAGGGACCTCCTGTGGTGACGGGCTCATATTAGGCAAGGTGATTTTAAAAAGCAGCGTGTCTATTTTTGGAGAGAAGGGGCACTTGCTCTACCTGTTAGACATACTATAAGGCTAAAAGCATAATCGATCCCTGGAAAAGAGGGAACCTCCAAACAGACCCCTGTGTGTCTGGGTTTTCACATAATAGCACTTCAGGGTGGCCAGGAGAGGCCCTGCCTCTGACGGGTCCAGACCCTCTTCCGTCCAGGGCAGTTAGGCCCCATCTAAATGTACGGGAAGGCCCACTTGTAAACAAGTAACCATGTGGGTACTTAAGGGCCATGAAAAGAAGTTTTTGCAAATCTCATATCTGGTAAGGAACCAAAATCTACAAACAAGTCACTTCACATCTACCACGAGAGCTTCACTCAAGGAAGGGCCTGGGGTTGGACTCAGAGGTAGAGCACCTGCTCAGCACCTGCAAGGCCCTGGGTTCCATCCTCAGCACCACATAAAGATAAAAGAGTAAAATAAAGGTGTTGTGTTCAGTTACAACCAAAAAACAAACATTAAAAAAAAATTTAAAAATAAAAGTAAAATATATTAAAAAAAAAAAAAGGTGTACATTAAGAGGTGCCCATGAGCAAGCAGTGAGGGTGAGAAGCCAGGGCCCAGTGCAGGCTGGGGTGAGACATGCAGCCGCCAAGCAGGTCCGAGCGCCACCGACCAGCTCGGCCACTCCTGGAGTACGCCCAGAGCAACGAGAGCCTGTCACCACGCATCTGCCCACAGATGGCCTCAGCAGCTCTGTGCACCACAGTCAAGCGCCAGCGCAGCCCAGGGTCAATGTCCCAGGTGAAGGGACACCCAGCCTGGCCCAGGCACACCTGGAGTGTCCTCAGCCACAAGCAGGAGCGAGGTGACAGCTGCAGCATGGAGGGACCTGAGGACCTTATGCCCTATGAGAACCAGACACACGAGGCCACAGAGCGTGCCCCAGTGACAAGAGACCCCCAATGCAGGAGAGCCCAGAGGCAGGATGTAGACCTGTGGGTGCAGGGCTGGGAGGGGACGGGTTTCTCTTTGGAGTGACAGTGTTTCAGAACTAGACACGGGATGGTGGCACATCATGAAGTAGTGAGTCCACCACCTGCAGCCAGGCCCTCAGCGGCACCACGTATGCTCGGCAGGCTCAGGCTGAGGGTCTCATCCCCAGCACTGAGGAACCCAATGCAAACGCAGACACAGCAGGAAGATTCACCAACGCCTGCTTTCTACCTGTGTGGGCAGAGGCCACCCGAGGTCAGCGGGAAAGGCAGAGACTGACCTCATGTTTCCAGGTGAGAGGAGCGGCCGAGCAAGGTGCAGGCGCTGCAGACAGGCTCGCCCGGTGCTCAAGCCGAGGCGCACAGCAGGCACAGGGGTCAGGACAGGCAGCATCTGCCCCCAGGCTCCACCCAGAGCAGGCCACCCGCATAAGCCTTGCAATTCATCTTGGCTTTTCAAACAATCAAATTTACTTAAAATATCCTTTATTTTTAGGCCATACAGCATTCTGACAGAGGAAACCTGCCAAGGAGCTGGCCGTAGCCTTGCCCTCGGTGAAGTCAGGAGGTGTCAGGTGGGGATGGGGCCCAGAGCACACAGGGGCGCAGCCAGAGCCGGCCAGGCCATGGGAGAGGAGTCCTTGCCCCAGGTAAGATAAAGCAAACCAGAGACTGCTACCCTCCAGAACGCAGGAGGGCAGGTCCCTGCAGGTAGGTGGGTGTCCCTGAAGGTGGTCACATACACCCGTGCCATCTCTGGGGTCTGGGCATGGAGGAGCAGGGCCTCAATGAGTCAGGCACCTGGAACAAAGAGAGCATGCAGGGCAGCACAGGGCCTCTGGCAGGCCTGCTCCATGAGCACGTGCAAGGGTAGCCCAGGGAGCTCGGGAGGCTGTCCTGTCTCAGCACTGCCCTCAGGTGGTTCTGAAGTCACCCTCCTGGTGGGATTGCCAACACCCTCCTGCAAAGCTCTGCCTCTCGCCTGCCCTGAAGGTGAACTGTCCTGACAGTGGACAGCTCAGGGGAAAAGTGATATGGGGGTAGTTCACCCCTGAATTCCTGGGCGTCTGGGGCAACAGGAGTGAACAGGCCCAGGTAGGGTCTGAGCCGGGGGCAGTAGGCAGGGTTTGTCCCAGGACAGAGTGACAGCCTTCCTGGAGGCCAGCGCAGGGAGAATCCCCTGCCTCTGGCCCCTCCCACTGTCTCACCTGCTGCGTGGCTACTGCACCAGCCGGTAAGTGATGTACCTGCCCGCAGTCTCACTGGGCCGGATGATCTTCACCACCTGCAGAAGCACAGGGACAGGTGCTGGGGGACAACAGGCCTCACCATGGCGGCACAGGGTGGCAGGCAATGCCTGTTGAAAAGCCTAGGAGCTACTCTTCTCTGGACCCCAGTTGCTGGGGCTTTAAAAAGGTGTGAGGAATGTGGTTCTAAGGCCCTTCCAGGCTGCAGGGGATAGGACTGTGGGAGGGACAAAGCCAAGTCCCCGGCAGGCAGGTTCAGAGCAGCATCAAAGGTCGTCGTGCCCCTGAGAGGTCTCTCACCTGCCCTCGCTTTATCCCAAAGTAGCGGGCCACAGGGTCCCCTGCCTGGATCCTGGGCAGTTGGTTCTCTCGGAGTTTGCTGGGAAGCAGGTCAAGGAAAAGCCCAGCAGGGCCATCTGGGGTTGGGGTGGGACTCTAGGAGCCAGGGGTGTGCCTGCAAGGATACTACCGGGCCAGCAGCTCAGTCACCTCCTCCTTGGTCATGACCACATGCTCTGGGACCAGCTGTGGAGAGAGGAGCCCATCATCACCACCAGGGCTCCCAGACTTCAGGACCCAGACAAAGCCCACCACCACCCTGAGCACACGGGGAGGGGTGAAGAACCCACACTGAAGCTGTGGGCAACCCGGGAAATGGTCACTGCATTAGGCTCTCTCTCTCTCTTTTCCTGGTACCGGAGATTGAACCCAGGGGCACTTCACCACTGAGCCACATCCCCAGCCTTTTTTTGTATTTTATTTAGAAACAGGGTCTCACTGAGTTGCTTCGCGTCATGGTTTTTGCTGAGGCTGGCTTTGAACTCACGATCCTCCTGCCTCAGCCTGCCCAGCCGCTGGGATTACAAGTGTGTGCCACCGTGCCCGGCTGCATTAGGTTCTCTCTACTATGGTGTCAGCACAGGGCCCAGGGGCCCCCAGAAAGAGATGCCTGCTCCCAGCCCTTACCCTGCAGGCCCAGGCAGGCCTGGGATGCACGCCCTTAGCAGGAGCCTGGATGCAGAGGCTGCCCTGGCCAGGCCTCACTGTAGGAAGCCTACCCTGCCATCCTCCCACTCCCCGCCACCAGCCACCTCCTGCTCCAGCATGCTGACGAGCAGCACCCCACCTGCATCTCCCACTGGCCCACCTCGTGCTCCGTGATGTTGATGAGCAATTCCTGCTGCAGGAACTGCTCCAGGATGTACTTGGGGGCCATGTCCACCAGAGACTGCAAGAGACAAGGTTGTCACACACAGCTGTGGATGAGCAGCCTCAGCCCTGACCCCACCCCTCAGGCTGCAGGGTCTACCCATGTGCCTCCACACTGCACCCAGGTGGTGTCCTCTGGCCTATGCCGGCTGCCACAGGGCATGGTCCCTCCCAACCTGTCCAGCTGCCTCTTGGGTGTCTTCAGAGCTGGCGTGGCAACTTCTCCCCATGGAAGAGGTACCATGCGACTATGTGAACCCTACAGCCCGGGCTGGACAAAGGCAGTGTGCTGGCCACCTGATCCCATGAACCCACTCAGCTCAATTCAACCCAAATGCCAGGAATGAGGGCACCTGTGCAGGCCACAGGGGCCCAAGCCCCTCCTGATGAGCCCACCCCTGTCCAAGCAGGACACAGAACCTGGTTCCCACAGTCACATCAGGACTCTGGGCTGAAATCCCAGATGTGGGGATGGGAGGCCACCCTGGTTGGGGGTGCCCAGGCGAAGCCTGCCATTGGCAGGGAGTAAGGGGGTGGCAGGCAGGGGCAATGAGGTGCTAGGCAGGCAGAAAGGGTTGGGACTTGTTGTAAACTCAGCCACTTCCTCCATGGGACTGAACTGACCCAGCCCCTGGGTGGTACAAAGGTGGGGCACCTACCTGCTTGGCAGAGGGTGTCATGCCCTGCTGCACCACGATGAGGGCCCGGGTGATGTTCTCCTCTTGCATGCGCTGGCAGTAAACCTTAATGGTCTTGATCCCCACCTTGGGCTCCTCTGAAACAGATGTACAGTGGCACACTGCTGGGAGCCTGCCCTCACCGCCCAGGGCACGCCGACTAGCCGGCTTCAGTCCAGTCGCTGCTCCTTTTGGGGCCTCAAGGTCCCCACTTGCAAGGCAAGACCTGAACTGCAGGATCCAGGGCGGGGGCTGGCTGCCTCAACACCACCAGGGCATCAAGTCCCACTGGACCTGGTGGGTCCCTTCCTGACGTTTGGAGTCAGGTGCCCCAAGCAGTTTTACAGTTTGGGAGACTCTAGATTCTTTGGTTCTGGGAGCCCAAGAGACAGAAGCTGGGTGTTCACATGGTGAGAGTCTGCTGACAGGGCACACGCCTGCCACCTAAGTACTGGGAGGCCCAGGAGCCCAGGGGCCAATCGGCCCAGGGACGTAGGGTTGTCCGTGTTTTGTCCAGCCACAGCCTCTGCTCTCACCTGACCCACCGATGGCAGCAGTAGGACTGGACTGTGCCCCTTCATATGCTGAAGCCCCAGCCCCAGAACCTCAAAGTTGTAACTGTACTTGGAATCAACGTTTTTAAAGAAGCGATTAGCATACAGTGAAGTAATCAGAGTAGGTATTGAGTCACACTTAGGAAGAGATCAAAACTCACACAGGAGAGCCTTGTGAGGCACCCTGCTGGGCAGAAGGATAGACCCAGCATCCAGCTACACAGGAGACTAAGGCTAGAGGAACACAAGTTCAGGGACGCCTGAGTGACTTAGTGAGATCCTGTCACCAGAGAGAAAAAAAAAAAAAAAAAGCCTGAGGACAAAGGTCAGTGGTTAAGCACTCCTGGGTCCAGTACCATAAAAAATTTTAAAAAGCATTAAAGGAAGGGTCTTAGGGGAACTGGTGGGAAGGAGGGCAGGGCAGGAGCCCTGCAGCACCTGGGTGGGACCAAGGGAAGTGGCACATGGGCTCCAGGGACCAGGCCTGTCTGCCTGGCTGAGAGCTGGGCCTGCACTCTCCCTCCAGGTGGGGAAGGGGGAAGACACATGCAGAGCTGATGTCATGGGGGGCTGGGGGCCTCCAGGGTTGAGAACACAGTTCAGAAAGAGATGGGGAAGGGGGGGGGGACGGGAACCACACGGACTTAGAGGGTGCCTTGAACCAGTGCCTGAGGTGGTGTCTAGGTGACTACACCAGAACCATACCCCCCTTGGGGACACTTGCCGTGGACCAGCACAGGCCCCCACCTGGGAAAAAGACGAACATCTGATCAGTGGGGTCATCATTGTGTGCCACCAGCACGGTGAGGTCTGTGCGGCGCGGCCGCCCTTCACTTGGCTTATCCCCAAACTGGGCTTTGAACTCCTCCAATGTCTGGTCCAGCTCATCCTGGGTCACCAGGTAGCCACGGTCATGGCACAGCTGCTAGGAGAAAGAGCCAAGTGATGACCCTGCCCAAGCATCTTAGCAAGCAAGAGCTCATGACCTGAGTGGACAAACACCCACAGCTGAATGTGGCAGTGGCACAGGTGCACACAGCCTCGACCCACTCAATAGTAGTAGTCGCAAACTGGCTGAGCATTTACAGGGTGCCACATAACTAGCCACTGCGACCCCCTGTGAGGACACCAGAGCAGTCCCAGAGGCTCCCAGAGACCTCCAGCCTCGACCCCCATCACCCAGTCTGGCAGGAATCTGGCTGGGAACCAACCCAAGCAGTTGCAGCCAGTCCTCCTGACCCCTCTGCAAAACCACGTGAGGCAGGGAGGCGACAGGTGCGGCTTCATGCGACCGTGCTGACAGGGCATAAGGCTGCAGGGGGCTTCACCCGGAACGGCGGGGCCCAGGATCGCGGGCTCGTCGTGCCTGCACTCCCGCTCCAGCCCCGACTTCCTCCTTTCGCTTGCACGCTGGGCAAGCACTCCCCGACTCGGAGGCAAACGCAAGATGTCTCCACCTGCTTTCCAAGCCAGAGTCCGCGCAGGCCAACCCAGCAACGCCCTCCTCCCGGCCTGGCCTCGGCTCCCGCCGCGACGGTCCCCGGTGCCGGAGAAACCACGGCAGGGGCGCGGCGCGGTGCGGCCCGAGCTCAGGCCCAGGACCGCACAACAAGCAGGCGCCCAGGGACCCACGCGGGTAGCGCGCCCTGTCCTCCTCCGGGCACCCAGGCGGGTCTCCGAGGGACGGGGGCGGGCGCCGCCACGGCGAGGGAGCGGCGGGCACGCGGGCAGGACAGGGCGTCCTCGCGCTGCTTGCCTGCATGATGGTCTTCCGGATCTTCCAGAGCCGGTAAGTCTCTTCCTCGTCGTCCATGGCGCCGCCGCGCGCAGGCAAGCCCACCGCGCAGGCGCCCAGCAGGACCCACGCGAAGTCCGCCTGCGCCAAGCGCCAGGCAGGCCCCACAGCCTGTCCCCGCGCGGGGCTGTCGTCGGCGAACGCCTGAACGAAAAGACCTGCGCGACCGGCAGCGCTCAGGGCAGCCCGAGCCCTCCGAGGGCGGTGGCGGGCTGCGCAGAGACCCGCCTTAGGAGTTCTGTGGCTTTGGCCGCAAGGCCTCTTGGGAGTGCGAGTTTCCGCTCAACTCCTGCCGGGGGTGGCGGTTTAGAATCCCGGGGGAGCGGGCCGGGCGCGGTGGCGCTCGCCCCATAATCCCAGCGGCTCGGGAGGCTGCGGCAAGAGGATCCAGAGGCCAAAGCCAGCCTCAGCATCAGCGAGGCGCTGAGCAGCTCAGTGAGACTCTGTCTCTAAATAAAATACTAAATAGGGCTGGGGTGTGGCTCAGTGGTGGAGTGCCCCTGAGTTCAATCCTCGGTACCAAAAAAAAAGAAAGAAAAAAAATCCCAGGAGCGGGCGGAAAACCGAGGCCTGAGCAGGGTCACGGGTCGGCTCGGGGAGGCGCTCCAAGGGATCCGTGCACCCAAGGGCACTTGGTTTCCTCGTTGGGCTCGTGTGACGTCCACGCCCCCACTGTTTCCCTCTTTGTGCGATGTTAGTAATAGGATGTCCCTGTCCCAGGGGTGAACTGAGCACCCCGAGAAGGGCCCGGGGTCGCCCCAGGTGCTTGAGAAGTACTCCCGCCTCGGCCGTCCTGGAGCCCTCGCCTAGCCCAGCCCGGGCCCCCTCGCCCGGTCCTCCATGCTCCGAAGGCACGATTCCCCGCGGCGCAGCGCGGGTTTTGCAAAAGGGTCCATTCGCAGGCCATCCACACAGAAGGCCGGAGCCCCAAGTCAAAGCTGCCTCCCCAAAGCTGGGGCTAGGGCCATGGACGGGATAAAGACACAGGGTGGCCTGGGGCGCCGAGCCGCCTGGAGGAAGGAAAGGTGAGGTAGAGGGTGGTCTCTGTTTGTAATCGGGCTTCATGGCTCGCCTGGGGATGTGGCTCGGCCTAAGAACACTTCCTAGCTGAGGGCCCCAGGCCCCGAGATGCATCCCCAGCACCACAATAAGACACTGGAAAATAAACCCACGTCATGGCTCCTCCGAGGAAGCCTGTTCAGACAGTGGTGGGATTAGTATGCTCCACTGGAGCGGAGGTGTGGCCTTCTGATGTCAAAAGGTGGAGGTCATATACCTGCACAGACCCACAGGAAGGAGCAGTGGTTCCAACAAGTTTAAACTACCTCTAAGTTCCTGAAAACCACCTAGGCCACCTCTGCCGTGGTGAGCGGCCAACAGGGGGAGTTGCGGTGTTCCACAAAGCAAGCTGCAAAGTCTCCCAGAAGCTGAGGTCCCAGTGAGCAGTGTCCAGAGGTGAGGCTTGGGAAGTGGTCAGAGTCAGATCATGCAGGCTTTGGCTTCACCAGATTAATCCATGGAGGGATTTATAACTGAATGGAATGTTGGAGGTGGTGAAAAACATTGATGGTGGGACCTAGTTGGAGGAAAAATAGGTCACCAGGATGTGTTTTGGAAGGGCACCCGTACGTGCACACTTACATATATGTATATATACACACACATATTTAAATATATATATTTAAATAATAATTTTGGGGGGTAATAGAGATTTAACCGAGGAGTGCTTTACCACTGAGTCACAACCCTAGCACTTTTTTGAGACAGGGTCTTGTTAAGTTGCTTAGGTTCTTGTTAAATTGCTGAGGCTGGCTTTGCATTTTCAGTTTTCCTGCCTCAGCCTCCCAAGTCACTGAGATTACAGGCATGCACCACCACGCCTGGCTGGAAGGGTATATCTTGTCCCTGGCCCTGTCTGCTCTCTGCTGCCATGAGATAAGCAGCTTTCCTCTGCCATGCCCTTCCACCATGATGTTTCTGCTTTGGAGCCATCCAAACATGCAATGAAGCCTCTGAGAACAAGCCAAAATAAATCTTTCCTCCACAAAGCTATTTTTCTCGGGGTTTTTGTCACAGTGATAGAAACTAACACAGTTTTAGAAACTAACACAGCAACACAGCGAGGGAAGCTGGAGGGTTTGCTCAGGTCTTAACTCAGTTTTGTTTGCATCTTTATTTATTTATTTTTTAGTTTTCGGTGGACACAACATCTTTATTTTATTTGTATGTGGTGCTGCGGATCGAACCCAGCGCCTCGCGCAGGTCAAGCGAGCGCGCTACCGCTTGAGCCACACCCCCAGCCCTTGTTTGCATCTTTACACACCCAGTACCCACCCCAGTGGTGGAGGAGGGCTGCACACCCCGCTCTTCCTGTGCCCTCCACCTTGAGGCTGTCAGTGACCTCTCAATTACTTTGCTGAGCAGCCACAGGGGCAGGGAACAAAATGGGCCTTGCGCCCCTTGTGTTGCAGGTAGAGCCCAGGGAAGAGCCATGCATGTGCTGGATAAATGCTGAAGCCTTTTGGGGCCCGTGGTAGGGAGGAAGTGGAGAAGGCTCAGGGAACTAGGGAAGGGGCTGCCTGGAGCACTGGCCAGAGAACCGTGGAGGACAGATTCCAGCACTGGACGGTGGGAGGGAGCCCAGGTGTCTGGAGGAGGGTGTGTCAGGCCAGAGAACAATATGGGCAAAGGCCCTGAGGCTGGACCTGTCTGCTTGGCAGCCTGGAGGCCTGTGCAGGGAGGGGTAGAGGAGGTCATGCTCAGGTGGGGCAGGTGCTACGCGCCCTTCAGGGTGCATGGACAGCTCGGGTTTTCTTTTCAGTGTGCGATGTCTGGAGCTACCGTGCTGGTAACAGATCTGTGGGAGCCAGAGCAGGAGCAGAGACCAGGGAGGCATCCTGGCCATTGGTAGGGGTGGCTCCTACTTGGATCAGCAAGGGGAACGTTCCTCGGAGCCCACAGGGTTTGCAGATGGATGGAGCAGTGAGATTTGAGAGAGGGAGAGAGATGGGGAGGACAAAGCTGCCCTGACAGGTGGCAGACCTGGGGGACAGGTGTAGGGACAGATGGGAAATGGGCGTGACATGGGAAAGGGGCATGGTGTGATGAATGTGGGGCTCCTATGGACCCTGAGGGGAGATGCCAGGTAGCAGGCATCAGCTCCCAGGAAGGAGCTCCAAGCCTGTCCAGGGCGGGGTTCCAGGAGGAAAGGAATCCCGTGTGGGCGGATGCAGAATGGAGCAGGGCAAGAGGACAGGGTGGGCTGGGGCAGCAGATGAGAGCCAGGGGACTGCAGGAGTGTGTGAATGGGGCACCTTAGGAGTCGTCCTGCTGGCCTACAGGACATCAGGAGGCAAGGAAGCAGGACCGGGAACAGAGGTGGGTTCCCCAGGAGCTTGTGGGCCACAGGGCCCCAAGAGGCTGGCAGGGCCCACCACACGGATGACAGTGACCTGGGCTCACATCCTGGTGCTTCACACCCCTGCCCTCTCTGGCAAAGGCAAGGCCAGAAATCAGGCCTGCATCTGAGAAACTGATGTGACTCCATTTTAAAAAAAAACAGCCGCTACCTCAGAGCAGGGCCTGTCCTAAGGTGGGGGGAGGGAATGACCGGGCTCCTAGGCACATGGCCACCCTGCTGAGTCATTTGTCATATGTCCTGGACTCAGCAAATGCAAGTTCCTGAAAAGACCAAAAGAATGCTTGAGGGCTGGGGTGGTGGCTCAGTGGTAGAGCGCTTGCCTAGCATGTGCAAGGCCCTGGGTTCCATCCTCAGCACCACATTAAAAATAAAGGTATTATGTCCAACTACAACCAAGAATGCTTGAGGCCTAGTTTCGGTGATTGATAACATTAGGCCACTCTGCAGTTGAGCATATATACTCTTGCAACCCCTTGCAGCCTAAACCAATCAGTTCAAATGTATCCACCACTTGAACCAATCAATCACCCCTATCCGACTTGTTCCCACCAGTGAATATGCTAATCAATGTTAAGACTTGTTGTTGATTTTCCCACGGTGTGAAATGATTTGCTGTATGATGTTGTGACGCATAGAGTATCCCCCCAAAAACCTATAAATCCTCACTGAACTAAGGGTTGGGACTCAGTCCCTGGGACCGATGTGTCAGGAACGGTTGTGAGTCCAGGCTCGAGCTTGCAATAAAGACTCTTGTGTGATTGCATCGGATTCGGCTCCTGGAGGTCTATGGGGTCCCACGAATTTGGCATTACAGATCCACACCAGGGTCAGCGGGAACAGAAGATCGCATGGCCATTTGGAAGACAGTCTAGCATGCCCTTAAACAGAGATCAGAGTCCCTGTAGGACACAGCAGCCCCACACCAGGTGGACACCCAGAGCAGGAGCACATGGACCCACATAGAACCTCCGCAGCATCACACAGCTGGCAGGCACGGTCCACCAAGAGATGAATGGTAAGTGTGTGGTGGGTCACGTAAGAACACAGTCCAGCAGTGACATGAACGAGGCCGGACATACAAGGTCACACAGTGTGTGACTCCGTGGATAGGAATGTCCAGGCAAGTCCAGAGACAGGGTGCGGATTCATGGGAGTGGCTGAGGGTAACTGTTCATGGGGACAGGCCGCCTTCTTCTTTTTTTTAAAATTTTTGTTGATGTTAGCTGCAGAGTGGGCTGAACACCTGACCCCCCCACCTGTCTGGTGCAAGGGAAACTAGCCCCTTTCCGGTCTGCCTGAGGGCAGAAGATGACACCCTTAGCAACTACTGTATGATCCAATCACTGTACGCCAATAAGGCAGCTTGCAGACCCAGAGACCCCATTAGATTTTGGCTATAAAAACTCTCTCTCGGGCTGGGGATGTGGCTCAAGCGGTAGCGCGCTCGCCTGGCATGCGTGCGGCCTGGGTTTGATCCTCAGCACCACATACAAACAAAGATGTTGTGTCCGCCAAAAACTAAAAAATAAATATTAAAAAAAAATTCTCTCCCTCTCTCTCCCTCTATCTTTAAAAAAAAAAAAAACAACTCTCTCTCTTGGGGCTGGGGTTGGCTCAGTGGCAGAGTGCTTGCCTCGCACATGTGAGGCACAGGGTTTGATCCTCAGCATGACATAAAAATAAACAAACAAAGGTATTACGTCCATCTTCAACTAAGAAAAAATTAGGAAAAAAACCCTCTGGCTTTGCGCGTGTGCTGATGCCACCCCGCCTGCTTTGCTCTCTCCCTCCTCTTTCTCTTTCCCTGCTCTTTCTCTCTTTTCTCTCCCTTCCCTGCTAATCAAGACAACACCACAATAAAGATCTCTTGGTCACGCAGAGTGTCATGGTCACTTTCTTTTCAGTTGATTCTGGGATGGATCCAGGGCCTCATTATGTGTTAGGCCAGCACTCTACCACTGAGCCACAGCACCAACCCTTTCATTTTGAGACAAGCCCCTTGTTAAGTTGCTGGGGCTAATCAGGCTTACTGGCACATGCTTGGAATCCCAGCAACTTTGGAGGCTGAGGCAGGAGGATCACAAGTTTGAGACCAGGCTGGGCAACTTAGTGAGACCCTGTCTAAAACTAAAAAGGCCTGGGAATGTGGCTCTGGGGTAGAACACCCCTGGGTTAAGCCCCAGGACTACCAAGTCAATCCACACATTGGGCCACAGTCCCTGTCCTTCCTCCTGGAGCTGCTGTGGGACCACCAGGAACTCTGCTGCTATAGAAGAACTTCCTTGAGACGATCCCAAGACTTCATTTCCTCACCAGTGAAGTGAGATCCTAGGGGAGAAGCTGGGAAATTCCAGACACAAATCCATCCCAGTGCCTGGGGTGCAGCTCCCCAGACCGGCCACTGGCCTCCAGTCCCCACACCCGCTCTTCCACCTCCTGCTCTTATTGCAGTTGGCACCAAGTCAGGAACACAGTGAAGTCCCTCAGGTCCCCACCCTGAGGGCACCGCCCTGAGCTGTTTTTCTGGCAACCACAAGTAAACAAGCTTCTTGGTGTTTATGGCAAAGTACAGTAAAGTAACGGTGAATGAGCAAAGCTAGAGACAGCTGCCCAGGATCTCACAGTGTGGCCATGCTGCTGTGTCCCCAGCACTCCCCCAGGGCTGGAGGAAATGGGGGACTTCCTGAGAAGGGAGGTGGCTGGTGAGACAGGGACAAGGGGACTCTGCCAAGCAGCCAGTCTCAAAACTCCTGGCCTAGCTGGAGGGAGCCTGGTGAAAAGTTCGCACAAGCCGGGTTCTGGCATCTGGCTGGCAGGCCCAGGTCTCCCAAGACCTCCCCGCAAATGGTACCAGCTCAAGTGAGACCTCGAGGGACACACAAGCCAGCGGCCAGTCCTGGGTGGACAAGCTGGCTGAGGGAGCGCTCAGCTCGGTGCCCAGGAAGGGGCTGGGTCTTGCTTTGTAGCAGCAGCCAACACTGTCCAGCAGGGACAAGGCACCGGAGCAGGAGCCTCAGCCCAGTGTCCTCAGTACCCACCTGCTGGGGACTGTGCCGCCTGAGCAGCCCCAGGGCAGACGCTGGAGCTGGCTCAGGACAGTAGGGTCTTTGACTTACAGGACTTGGAGAGAAAGGAGTCTCATCACGGCCAGAGGCTGTGAGCACACAGGCCATCGCCCACATATCGCCCAGATCAGGCAGCGTTTTTGGGGTCCCAGCTTTTCTTTTAAAGGAAACTTGGGGAAGATGGGCTTGGGAAATGTGGAGATGACATCAGTTGGGTGATCACCAGGGGGTACACTAGGGTCCAGCAGTTCTCAGGGTCCTTAGACTGGCGTAGCCTCCATTATCTTATCAATAGGCAACACTGGAAAGTCCCTTAAAATTATAGGTTGCTCAAAATATACCTCTCTTAATCTAAATATTGGCGTTTAATTAACGGTGCACAAAGTATGCGAAAATGGATTTACAGATGATTTAAGATTTACAAATTTCCCAGGAATTTGGGAGTGGCAGGCCTGGAAAAGTATGCGGAACTTCTGAACTAAATCTTATTTCCTTGCCCTTTCTTGACGTCTCCTTTCCAGCCATTCCTGACTTCTCCCTCAGATCTCTGGGGTTAACGCTC